CAAATAAAAAAATTAAAAAAAATAAAGGCTCTCTACTCACCCTTCTGGTAGAAAAATTTCCTGTAATAGTAGGCGCCAAGATCCACGTGTTCCACAATGTATCTTTTCACTCTATCTAGATGCAACACCAGATTTTCCTTGGGCACTTCAAGTACTGCCACTCCCGCATTTGTGCAGTGGGAGCTAAGGGTAGACTCGAAGGAGGCACTTTCACATCCACTAAAGGAGCCAGAATTTGATTTTGAAAGGCTGATTTTCCTTTCGCCTTCTCCACCTATCTCATTCCGAAAATAGGGACAGCTCATGACAAGCTCATTGCTTTTATCGTCTCCCTGGTCCATGCTGAGGCTTCCTTTGGAATTCAGGTCCTCGGTGCTGCCCATTGGGGAGCTAAAACTGGCTGAATGAGACAAAGGTCCAGAGACCAAGGACGCCACAGCGGCTGCCGACGCTCCCGTGGTGGTGTTTCTCCTCTTAATAACATTGTGCCTGTTCATAATCGCCTCATTCAAATCAAATAATATACTCTGGACATCATAATGGGCAAAGCACTTTGGACACGTCCAGGGCCTGACGGAGTCTTCTGATCGGTTGTCTTCGAGATCCGACGACTTCCCAAGTTCTTCACCTTTGGCATTGCGCAATTTACGAAAAATGGAGGAGTCGCCAGTTTCTGACTTGGAGCGTCGCTTGAGTGGTTTTTCCCTTTCCTTAAAAAGCCTGAGGTTCTCTCTCTGTGAGATAGGCCCGTCTATAACATCCAAGGAGAAACCGGAACCCTTGGCCCCACCGGCGATGAGGAAGTCACTGAGCTTGGTCGGAGTAGGACCTCGATCGGATTTGTCATCTTTGTAGCCCTTTAACAAATCGAAAAAGCTCTCTCCGGACGTTCCCTGTTTATCAATGGAAGATGTGCTACCATATTCCCTGTGCAGTGACGGTCCAGTCTTGTACGTGGGTGAGATACATTCATCAAAGCTATCCACGTCAAGTTCACTTATGGTGATGTCACTGTTGCTCCGCTGCCGTATTCTGCGAAGAGCTTTTCTGGGGGAGCTGGGATAGGCTTCAGGCATGAGAAATCTGGAGTCCATGTTCTCCGCCGGTCTGGTCTTGCTTTTCAGCGTGTTCTGTATGCTCTTCAGCATGGCTGAGTCACTAGAATTGAGGCTAACAGAACTTCCCTGACTCACAGGACTGCTTTTGGAGGACAGGCTCTCAAGGCAACTTGAGGTTTCTATTTCCTGGCTTGAACGGCTAGATTCTTTTATGTTTTCCTTTCGTGGGGGCCAATCTGCAATCCTTGCCCTAACCCCCATTTTGGGGACTCCGGGGGTCGAGGTGATATGGTGAGAACCTTCACTTCGTGGGGGTCCCACCGGAGCCATGACTGATGATCCTAAGCTGCCATTCTGGGACCGGAAGCGTCGCATGTAGAAGTCATCAGTGTGGACTTTGGGGGCACCATCTGTGCCGACAACGGAGGCCCTGTCAGTGGCAACAGGCCTTTCTGTCTGCGACCGTTTCAAGCTGGTCATGATGTGAAAGCGAGCAGACTTAAATCCCTGCAGAAAGGACCATCATATCTGTGTTTTAAATGTGCACTTCCCTTTTGGAGAATGGCTTCCAGAAAATAAAACAGTCGCATGAGATCTTAATCTTTTTCATCTAAAAGGTAAAATGACGTCCGACTTCAAGCCACTGAAAATCCAGAACTTCAAAGCATTATAATTCACCACAGCTCCTTTGCTTCACTTTAGCGGACGGCTTTCTTTCAGAAAAAGCTGAATGGAACTTGTGTTACTGAGATTCTGTGATGGCCATAATCCCATGCTTTCTCTGCAAGAAAGAAGGACAATTCGAATTAGCATTTGATAACTACATCTAAAAATAAATATTCAATTGCCAAAACCAGACACACGAAAATAAAACTCAGTAACAGACTGTGATTCCCAGTTCCACAATCCATATTTTCAGTAAAGCAGGTTTGAAAGAAAGGAAGGAAGTATAATCATTTAATGAAATCCATCATTTATGTTCTAAAAAAAAGAGAGAGACTATTAAGACTTTATCTTAATTGAGCTGTTTCAATTCGATGACTGAGGGGAGAGAGGTACATCTCGTTCTAGGATATCAAGGCTGCTTCGAGCATAGACTTTTGCTCCAATGACCTCTAATAATGTAGGACATCAGGAGCCATTGCAATGCCCAGAAGTTTGAGATGTAACCAACTGAATCAGATAATTAGAGCAACACATAGTTTTTTGACATAAGTAAAAACTGAAAAATGATTTTACTGAATATGCTACCACATTCACTTTTTAACTCCTTCTGTATTTCAAAATCAATTATTGTTATTTGTTTCTTTACAAAGGCTTAACACAGTTGCCAAGAGCAAATGCAGCAGAGAGAACATAAAACGGGTTTTCCCGGAGCCATTATATCCATTAACACTCTTCTGTATTTCCCTGTACTTTATTACTTACCCAGAGGAGGAGTTTTTCAGCACAAATCCAGCATTCACCACCTCTTCCCAGCTCTCCTTAGTTTCATCTACTCTTAAAGCTAGAAGTATTTCACTAATGAACAAAATGCCTGCATTTCCTTACGCAGTGCGACCTCCTCCACCCCGTCAACGCTAATTTATGAAGACCGCAGAAACAAAATGCTGCTCTGGGTGGCCCTCTCCATATCCTCCAACAGACTACAGAGAACAGTTAGCATCCTTCCAGGTGACGGGTACGAAAATGAACTTGCTCATGAGCACGTCAGGCAGGAGGCAGGAGGCAGAGATTCTGAGTACAACATTCTGCATGGTTGCGTACATCCTGAAAAGAAAGGCAGAGGATCCTTTTCCAAGACTCCACGAATTACACAAGAGGTGGCCTTTAAATTCTTGCCAAATACATGTTTGGAAAGATGCTGCTGAACCAGCACTGAGCTGACAGGGCGGCATTGTCTACAAATCACGGCTCTGACACCCGAGGACGACCCGCGCTTGCTGCACTCTCCACTCAATAGTAACAAGCACTTACTTCCTCGATAATTAAGCATCTCCCTAGTCGGCTTCCTGCCTCCAAGGCAGCCGCTTTCCTGTCTCTTGCAGCACACAGCATCATTTTAGAAGACTTGCTGCTATTTAAAGGCTGGAACATTTAGGGGTGTTTCAAAAAATGAAAAAAAAATGCATGCTGCCTGCAGAACGCAGGGCCAGGCGAGCTCCGCTGGGCTTGCGCTGGCTGGGTTTGTGCAGCCAGTCAGATAATGCCAATTGTTCTCACGAGCACTCCTCTTCACCATCTTTTGTAAAGGGGATAATGGTTTTGCGTCGCTACCTAATTAAACCTGGCTTTTGAGCTTTCTAGATACTTCTACCATCAGATTGCTATGATTTCCTTTACATTCCAGAACTTTACACGCTTTTCTTGCAACTGTAAGCCTGCAAGTGGCATAACTTGCTAACTGTTGCGTCCAACAGCAGCAAGCGATAGCACACGTGGCCACGGCTAAGGTTCACGAAGTGATCCTCATAAAATGGAAGGAAAGCCAATCAGCTGACAAACGCAAACACCTGTCCATCTCAAAAAACCCCTATTGCAATCAAGTATCTTTCAAAGAAAGAATATACTAGCATAAAGAGTAATTCTAAGTAGATTCTCATAAAAATCAGATGCTTTCAACATTTCTTACAACCTCACAGAAATCCAAATAAATCATCTTTCATTCCCAGAACATTCATTCTCTAAAAGGTCAACACACCAACTCCATCATGGTGTGTGATAACACACCAACTCCTTTTAGACATCATGATGTCTAAAAGGTCAACATACCAACTCATTCTTGTCACATTTCATTTGCCTTAGGAAATGGTTTATTACAGAACTGTCTTCCTTAGGATATGTGAACGTTTATCCATTGTAGTTGGAAACTAAAACCTGGCATGAAAACACAATAAACAAAACTGACTTGGAAATGCTCAATCTTTGCCATCAGTATTTCTCTTCCAAACCATCGCATACACTTCCTATATTTTTCATGGGTTTATAAAATCTTATTTTTAAATATAAAAAATTCTTTCTAATTCAAAAGAAATGGGAAGACTCCTATTACATTTTGAATATAACGACCACCCAATGTTTTCTTTCCATTTCAAAATAGAGATGGGCACAATGGGGAGTGAGAAGTCACGATGTAATACTGAAGAGGTCTGAGATGGGTGGTTAAGTTAAATAACAGATTTTTTTCCAGTCATGAGGACCTTCCTTATGTTTTTTTTCTGTTGCTCCTTTTCCCTCTCCCTCCCTTCTTCCTTCCCTCTCTTTCTCATCCTTATTTATACCATCTAACCCCTTTGAGGTACAATATCAACTTTGGGCACTGACTAGCACAGGTAGGAATATGTATGCTTTGCACTTATTAAACTACCAGTAGAAAACAAAGTTGTCCATGCATGTGTGTCATCTGATGACAGATCAATAACACCTGAAAACCAACTCCTTAGGGTTGACTGAAATAGCAAACATATGTTGACGATTATTAGCACTTCTCTTAAATAACGGCAAACTTGCCTAAGCATCATTAAATACAGTTAAAAAAAACAATAGAATTAAACAGAAGAGCAATACTAATTTACAGCATGTCACCTCCATCTGTTGAAAGAGCAGGCTATATAAAAAAAATTCCTTATAAGATGTTTAATTTTGCAGCTCTAGATGCTATTTAAGTCCGTGGTAGAGCCATGTAGCTGGAATACTAATCCCATCTCGAGGGCCTGCAGTTTATTCGGTGAGTTCAGTTCTATTAGTTGACAGTCTTTTCATCACTCAAGGCCTATCACAACCTAACGCACCACCCTCTGGTGATAACGCCATTCTTCCGGAAGAAGTGCTTCTTCCCCTCTTCTAAACCAGAACATTCCCCGGCATGTCCCTTCTGAGGACAGACCACACAGCCAGTGCTAGGAAGAATGTTTGAGGAAACAGTCCCTCCCTGCTTCAGGGGAACCTCCACGTGCCGTGGGGAGACTCGGGAAGGTACAAAAATGACAGGGATAAGGAGGAGGCTGTCACGCCGCCTCCCCGTACGCATCCCGTTCTGACAGTAAACTCTTTAATAATTGGAACTATCTCCTGGTGAGACTGCTTGTAGCATGGCAGGCCAGCCATTCAGAATATCAAGTCCCCAAAAGTGCTCAAAGCAGAGAGAACCTCCAGAGATCTCCTAATTGCTAAGAACGGCCCTTGTCATTCTGGCTCTGTGTGGCATCTGCACTCTTGCTTCCTTCCTCCCTCCTTCCCGAAACTCCCTTCTCTTGACCTCTGTGATAACCATGCGCTTCTTTGTTTTTCTCTTCCCTCTCTTTTTGCCCACTACTCAGTATCATTAATGGGCTCCATTTAAAAGCTAGCAATCCTAGGGTGGGTATCCTTGGTTTACTTCTCATACCATTTTTCATATTCATAATATCCATATATAAAGGGTATTATTATCAGGATGCACATGAGCACTGGGTGCATTGGGATGAGACAGCAGGCATGAGTACACTCAAGTGAAAATATTACTGCGGAAAGGAGGGTGTTGATTTGGTTGGATCACAGTTGTCTGTGCAACTGAACAACGACAGAATAATGCAATTATTAGGTGGAAACCGCAAGGTAAGCAGCACTACCTGGCGATATCACAGGTGCCTGCAGCTTTAAATATCATCTCTACGCCGTTACCTCCAAAGCTCTGGTCATGACCCTCTCTGCTAAACTCCAGATAAAATATGCAGGTGCTCATTTAACATTGTCCTTATTTATCTACTTTATACAATGAATTAACTAACACGCAGAAAAACGAAAAAATCAATTTTTAAAGAAATGAATGAGTGGGAAGGAAGTAAGCACAATAAATAATTCAAGGAACTGAATGAAAGGAACAATACAGGAAACTTTCTCTGTGCCAAGGGCAGACAGAGCAGTTTAAAGGTTACACAAGAAGATGTGGGAAGCGGGTGGGGCTGGGGGAACACTACAATTCCTGTTCTGAAATAATTACTATGCAATATGGTAGATTCACCAAAAAAGATGTAGTGTTCCTCATTAAATACTTCCAGATTCCAAAATGAGACGCTGTCAGATTCTTTAACTGGCATAGCCTCAAAAACAGGGCTAGTTCTCAAGGTTTCAGGGTGACAGAAAGAATTCTGCTGATTAATATTCACATGCCCCAGTAATTCAGAGATAAATACTATACAAGCATGTAAATAGTTTTTGGAGTTGTGTGCATAGATTTAGAATGCCTGTAAATATTCCTACTTCAGAATGTAATAGGACACTTTATTTTAAAACAAATATCACAGCGCTTGAATATTAGATTAGCTGAGATAATCAAATAAGGCAAACCATTTTCTTTCCATCCCTTCTTGGCTTTCCTGAATTTCACCCACATTCCATAAAAGTAACATCTCAGACAGAAGGGAAGTCTCACTCTTTCAAGTTAGCCTGAAAGACATACGAATATCTCAGTGCAACGTTATGGATAATTTAAGATTTATGAATCAGCACATAACTTTTTAGACTGGAATTTCCCCGTTCTTTAGTTTCCGTTCTCTCCCTTCAACAAAAAGCAGGAAGGATTGGGAAAAACAGAATTTTGATAAATCTAGTTCCTGCTCTCCGAATTGTTCACTATCTGAAAAGGGCTGATGGACACCAAGTAGATTCAAAACACTTGTGCTGAAATTAACAAAGCGAATAAGGAAGTTACAGGTACAAAACATATATAACAGGATAAAGTTACATTTAACTTTAGAGATAAGAAAGCAATTTAAAATGTGCCTGTTTGGCCAGAGTAAGGATCAAAAGGGAGAATCATGTTTGCCTCCCCCCACCCTGCTAAATAAACAAGTTCAATGAGGGAGGTTACATTTCAACAGGCTTAGTAAAGCTTGAATATACTTTGTTCAGCTGTGGGTGAAGGAAAGAACATGCAAATTTGGCAGAAAGCTTGATGGCAGGGGAGGGATGATAGAATCAAGAAGGTATGTAGAGCAAGTTATGTGGTGAAATTACTGGC